GATGATCATGATACGATGATGATATGATGATAATGATGATGATGATTGATGATGATGATGATGATAATAATAATAATAATAATGATAATAATAATGAAAATAGTAATAATAATTATGATGATGGTAATAGTAATAATGATAATAATATATAATAATAATAACAATAAATAATAATAATAATAATAATAATAATAATAATAATAATAATAATAATAATAATAATAATAATAATAATAATAATAATAATGATAAGAGTAATGATTATAATATCACTAATAACAATAATGGTCATGATGATAATGACAATGATGATAATGATAATTGTGTAACGACAAAATGATAATGATAAGTTATTTATAATAATGAAAGTAATAATGAGAAGAGAAATAATATCACCTACATATTTCAACGGCATTTATCAACATTCACTTGCTCCTTGCATTCAGATATAAAACTATCAACATACATGTAACAGTGTTTGCTCATGTTGCAATTTTCTATTGAAAATTCATTAATCCTTGCTGAGATCTTTGCACACGGCCCGTGGATTCTATCCCGTAGAAAATTTGTCTGGATGACTTTCCTTGACTAGAGATCAACATGAACACATATTTTCCTATTCTTGAACCGCATTCTGTAGTAAAATACATATGTGTATGAGTAATTGAAGCTATAATATAATGCGATTCTTCATATAAGCGCAAATATACAACGGAAGCAATAGAGAAGAATCAATCGAAGTCGGATATCTCATTCGGACAAGGCGACGTAAACAGCAAGTGTGTAGCATTACTTGAGCAGTCACTCCCTTGACGACCATGGCGACGGATAACCTCTCAGCTGTTCTTTATGGCAAAAATGACTTGCGATTAGTAAGTTGTTTGTTTACACAGTGAGTTTGGGTTTGTCTGTCCAAGTAGAATGAAGTAAGAGGCGTTTGATGAGTTGACAGCGTTTTATAATGGAGTATGAGAAGGAAATGGAGATGGGTGTAACTTGGGGTAACTTGTAGTATTTCGGTTTATAAATGGACTGCATCGGGTTTCATGTTTGGTGATAGTCAGGCAATCGGCGTAACCTTCATACTTCACACTCTGACAGAAGCCAACAAATCTTTACCAAATATTTACCATGTACTGTCAATTTCTAGTTAAGGCTGGTCTCGTATTTCACTGTTAAAACGTCAGGGAGGTCTACCAGCTGTATACTTGATGGTGGTATGCGTTGGCCTTGGTCGGTGTGATTGCTTGAGCTATTGTGGATACACATATTGCAGCATTATCCTAGTTTTGCATTTATTATTGTATGTAATAGTGCATACCACTTCAAATTAACCACTGTCTTTGCCTGGTAAGGGTCGAGTTTCATGAAGACAGTTATTTGGGTTATAAGATAAATTTTCGATGTTGTTCATTACTAGATTTCACGGTAAGACATAATAGTTAGTGGTTAGTTTCAGTTATTATCATCAGTCATCATCATCATCATCAGTTATCATTATCATTATTATTATCATTATCATTATCATTATCATTATTATTATTATTACCATTATTATTATTATTATTATTTTTATTATTATTATTATTGTCAAGATATTATATCTTTGTTATTATCATGATGAATAATCAATCATGATTATTCTAAGCTGCATGTTTTGCTATGATGTGAAATGAATGATATTTCAATTATTATCTCAATTTTCCAGGAACAAACACCAATACCTGAAATTGGGCCTGATGGTAAGATTATGTTGTGCATTATAGTTTTATAGTTGTAAATGATGATGTTGATAGAGATGTTAATATATTTAAATACATTTAGATATAAATATGCATCCTTCCATACATACAAACAATCAAACAATTATACATACATACACACATACATACATACATTCATATATAAAAACACATACACAGATATATACATATAATGTATGTAAAAACAACATCAACAGACACAGGCACAGGCACAGGCACAGGCACAGGCACAGGCACAGGCACAGGCACAGGCACAGGCACAGGCACAGGCACAGGCACACGCGCATACACACACACACACACGCGCACACACACACACACACGCCACACAACCACACACACACACACACACACACACAACACACACACACACACACACACACACACACACACACACACACACACACACTTGCGCGCACACACACAACACACACACGTGCGCGCACACACACACACACACACACACACACACACACACACACACACACACACACACACACAACACACACACACACACACACACAACATACACACACACACACACACATACACACACACACACACACACACACACACACACACACACACACACACACACACACACACACACACACACACCACACACACACACACACACACACACATATATATATATGGGTATATAGTAATTTAGACTATATTACAATGAAATAGAGCTCATTTAGGCTTCCCTTAAACACGTCTTTAACATTTCAGAGGTGCTTCTGCGTATGTCTCAGGTCGGCATCTGTGGCTCCGATGTGTCTTACCTGGTCCGAGGAAGCATTGGGGACTTCATTGTCAAGGCCCCCATGATCTTGGGTCATGAGTCTGCGGGTGTTTGTGGCTAAATGTGGGAAGAATGTGAAACACCTGAAGCCTGGTAGGTTTGAGTTTGTGATGTTTGTATTGTTGGGCATTATTATTATTATTATTATTATTATTATTTTATTATTATTATTATTATTATTATTATTATTATTATTAATTATTATTATTATTATATTATTATTATTTATTATTAATTATTATTATCATTATTATCATTATTATTATATTATTATTATTATATATTATTATTATTATTATTATTATTAATAATAATAATAATAATAATAATAATAATAATAATATTATTATTATTATTATTATTATTATTTATTTATTTATTATTGTTATTATTATTATTGTTATCATTATTATTTATTTATTTAATATTATTATTATTATTATTATTAAATATTTTACTGTTTTAAGTGTTTTGTTTTAGTTTTGTATTGTAATTATTTGTTATTTTATTGAGGCTTTAAGGTTTAGGACACTTGCCATATATGGATGTGCCAGGGGGACCTCACATTTACAGCTTTCATTGCGATAATTCACTTTAAATGGTTATTGTAAAATTTTAATGATGCATTATTATTCTCCTTTTTTTGAAGCTGATATGTTATACTTTAGCATGATATATGGGATATAAAAAAGCTGAAAAGCAATGGTGAAACCCAGTTGATATGTCATGCTGGTCAGATGTTGTTTACGTCATTGGAATGTGAAGGGTCAAGCCATATGAATATAATAAGAATCAGCTTGATCTCGGGCTCAGAGTTAGCATGTGTCTTCTGTCTACTCCAGGTGATCGAGTTGCCATTGAACCAGGTGTGCCGTGTCGCATGTGCGACTATTGCAAAGGCGGCACATACAACCTGTGTCCTGATGTTGTCTTCTGTGCCACACCCCCTTACCATGGGAATCTGTGTCGCTACTACAAACATGCAGCAGATTTTTGTTTCAAAGTAATTTTTTTAATTCTTTTATTTCTTATTTGTCTTTCCTGTACATGGCATGGATGAAGAAGTAGGTGTGTGAAATGACTATAAGGAATAGTATAGGTCACTTGCAAAACTTTGGCCTGAATTAGCTTCACTTTTTTTTAAGCAAATAGGAGCTTGATGAAAAAAAAAAAAAAAAAAAAATCTGTCACCCATTCCATTTTGTTGTTTTTTTTTTTTTTCGTTTTTTTTTTTCTCTCTCTCTTTCTCTCCCTCTTTCCTTTACTTCTGCTACCACTCCCTTTCCCTCTCCTCTTCTACCCTCCTTCCAGGCTTCCAGATCACGTAACCCTTGAGGAAGGAGCCATCTTGGAACCCCTAAGTGTAGGAGTTCATGCTTGCAGACGTGCAGGTGTCACCCTGGGTTCCACAGTATTGGTGTGTGGAGCTGGACCCATTGGCCTGGTCAACTTGCTCACTGCAAAGGCTATGGGAGCTACTAAGGTTTGCATTACAGGTATTGCTGGTTCTTTGATTTTATTAGGTTTAAGTACTCAAAATTGTCTTGTTGGTTAATTGTTTTATCATTTGTATTGTGACTGATTTACTACTATGACCATGTTTGATTTTTTAAAAAATGATTGAACATGACACACAAGTCTACTTTGACATTCACGAATCTAGAAAGGGCTTTTGATGAGAGTAAATTAAGAGGCCATGAAGAAGCTGCTTATTATAGATGGTGTGGATGATGGAATTTTTGGAACAATTACAAGCTTCAGTAGTGTGTGAAAATGGGTAGTAGGTTGAGTGACTGTTTTGAAATTAAAGTAGGATTGACCTGCCATAGCACTTCATTGTCTAAAGGGCATTACTTCTTACGAATGTTTTGTAAAATTTCCTATCGTCTCTTGCTTTCAGACATTGCTGAGAACAGACTGAAGGTAGCCAAGGAAATGGGGCAGACCACACCATCCTTGTGAGTTCAGGAGATGCTGAAGCTATTGCCAAGGAGGTTGAGAAGGTGATGGTGGGATGCCAGACATCACCATCGAGTGCAGTGGTGCGAGTCTAGCATTCGCCTTGGAATTTTTTGTAAGTACCAAAGTTGCAGGGAGGAAGGGGGGGGGGGGTGAAAATGTAGCATTAATGTCAATATTATTTGTTGGGTGTCGTGAATACGGATATATGAAATAAGGAGCTTCATTGTGTTTTCAGAGATTGTAAGCCTTTCTCTTTGTAATCAAGTGACATTTTAATGGAAATTCAACCTTGATCTCCCATTACAGGCTACAAAGTCTGGGGGCATGATGGTTCTTGTTGGCTTGGGTCCATCAGAGGTGAAGATCCCAATCGTCAATGCTGCTGTGCGAGAGGTGGACATCAGAGGCATCTTCCGCTATGGCTAACTGGTGTGTGCTTTGACATTTGAAAGTTTTGAAGTAGAAATTGAAGGTCATTTACCTTCATACTTTTTATTCAATAAGAAAGAAGTAAACCTATGGTGCTTACTCATATCAGTTACTGATAAGCCTCAAAAAGATGCGAGAAAGAATGGATGACTGCTTTATAAACAACAAATGAAGAAAATTAAATGAATGAATAAGGAAAAATCTAAGGTACAGCAGTAAACTATGAATTGGAATTAGTAATGTAATTATCATTACAATTAAGTTTTGTTTTTCCCCAGCTATCCTTTGGCATTGGATATGATAGCATCAGGCAAGGTCAATGTGAAGCCTCTCATTACTCATCGCTTCAAATTGGAAGAAACCCTCAAGGCCTTTGAGACTGCTCGCACGGGAGCAGGTGGAGCCGTCAAGGTCATGATCTCCTGCGAATGAAGGGCTGGTAATTGAAGAATCTTAGTGGGAGAGAGAGAGAGAGAACTGGTGCCTTTTTTCTTTCTCTTTTGACATTCTTGTTGTGTCATGTTTAAATTTTGAATACAATTTTCAGAGATACTCTTTTCATTGAAGAGAAATCTTGGTAGTCATGAGCCTCTGATAGTCACACTTATTCCCTCTTTTAATTACACTGGTGCAGCTCTGTTCTCTTATGTATTGTTCAAAATAAAGTTTGTTAAGAAGAGTTTTCTGATGATATTTTCCTATTACTGTGTATATAAGAAAAAAAAAAAAAAATAAAAAGAGAAGTATGTAGAACAGAAAACACAATGTGCTAAAATCAAAAGAAGATAGGACAGATGAAGGGAATAATATTGTATATGAAATACCACTGAATTAAAAAACACTGTAGCAGTGAAAGGTTAACTTGCGTTGAAATAATTACTGAGAATGGTCATCTATTGTTTTGAGAACTTCAACAGATTATTAATAGAGGCCAATATTAACTGCATAGTGACTACTGGCAGGCATTTATATCAATATATATAATGGCAACTAGAAAGGTAAGAATTTTATAATGTAAATGGGTACCTTCTGATCTTACTCCTTGATTTTTTGTTCTTGATTTTGAAACAAGATGATGGACAGTATAGTTTATTTTATATCTATAATTCATTTAATACTCATCCCATCCCACTGATTCTTTGATTGTGGCTGCATTTGCCAGTTTAGATCTCCTGTATGCATTTGCTTCCCCCTTCACCCTCAAATTCTTTTTGGAAACCTGCTTCTTCTCCCGTCTTGTAAGATCCTTTTGCAGTCGCCGTTTAATCTCCTCTGGCTCTATGGTGCTTGCTGTTGTTGAAAAGCTGCGGACACTGTGTATGTCACTCATTGAGTCGTCTATCATGTCTTCAAGTGGTGGGGCTTCTTCTCCATTTTCTTCACAGTGCTGACGCAACTCTCTGGCTTTGGCCAACTGCTTTATGAAGAGCAGCCTTGCATCTCGGTCTGCATCCTTCCCCTTCTTTCTTCTGGAGTGTCTCTCGCTTACTTCTGATGGAGTCTCTTCAACTTCTTCCTCTTTTTTTGTGTCCTTATTTAGCTCTTCACTTTCATCATTTTCTAAATTTCTCTATATTTCTCCTTACACAATGTCTCCATCTCATCCTGCAACCTAACAAGTTCCTCTTTCTTAAGGCCTGTAGTCTCAGTCTGGTCCTGCTCTTTGGTGGTTTCGTCTTCTTCAGGGCATGGGATCTCTCCTTCATTGCCACTTTCATCTTCATCATTTTTGGCATCTTCTTCTTCTTCTTCATCCTCATCACTGCTGTAGTTGTCTTCGTCTTTTGTGTCAAAATCTTCCCCAACTTTGAAATGTTCATTGAACTCTTGAATTTCTTTTGAAAATCCACTGACAGACACCTCTTTATCTAGATTACCTTCCCTCCTGTTGGTCATAAAAAAAGAACTTATTAACAAAACTCTGACAACATGGAAACAGAATGGATTAGAGCATAATAGGATAAACATTTTTATATTTGCTACACTGGTTAAGGAAATATGCTTCTCCGAATCTTAAAATAGTTAGAGACACTGAACTGGGCACCATACAATAAAGTTCTTATTGCTAATTCTAGATACTGATCTTTGACCATGAATTCCAAACTCAAAATATTTTTCATTGATCAATGCATACATGTTGGTACTGGTACTAGCAGCTACACAGATATTCAGTCTACTTACACAACATCTCCATCAAAGTCAGGATACAGCTCGCTCTCGTAGCCAAATCTTCTCTTGAAAAATTCACGTACACAGTTCACATCACGGTCAAAATACCTGCACAATAAAAGAAAAGAGAATGAGAAAATTTGAACTGAGTAATGGCACTCTTAAAGGAAAACACAAGAAAATAATCAGTGCCATTATTAATGTCTGAAACACTTAAATTATATAATTAACAAGATACATTTTCCTATTACTTCATATCTGCATAATGTGCCATCAAAAAAAAAAAAAAAAAAAAAAAAAAAAAAAAAAAAAACTTGCATCTATCACTTCGAAACTTAAATGGAAATTATTTTTTGATAATTTACTTGAATTTTTTTACATCTTAAAATGATTCATGATTATTTATATCAATTATCAAAAAATTGTATGTTTAATTTTCATGTGGATTAATGAGAGAATCCACAGGTTGTAATATAATACTTCAATTTTGCCTTTGGTTTTTACTTTTTTGCATACTTTGTATTATACATATATCTAGTGTAATTCTCTTCTTTTCTGTGAAAATTAATATAAAGTGATATATTATGATACTCTTTCTTATAATGCCTTCATCTACAATTTCTGGTATGTAATCCTTTATCATTATTTCCTCTCTGGGGATATGTCCCAAGTAGTATAAAAAAAAATACATAATACTTGTGCGATATCTATACTAAAGTTCCTTCAGTACCAGCACCACATAACATTTTATGATACTGGTAGGTTCTAAATCATAGTTATGAAACATCATGATACATTATGTTTCCATAACTTTTTAGTCATTGCGATGACTATCAAAAACACATGCTACATATAACAATACAGCAAAAGATGTATGACATGAAACGAAAGTCATATGTAACCAAATTAATCATTTCATTCCTTTTCTTATTTCTAAATCAAAGGTCATGTAGTATTCTCCCATTCATATATCCAAAAACTGAAGGGGGCACTTACATCTTGGCATTTTCGTGGTCAGTTGACACCATTTGGGGGAAATCAATAATCACAGGCTTGTCATCATCGTTCACCATGATGTTGAACTCGTTGAAATCGCTGTGAATGACACCATGGCTGGCCAGCTTCACGATTAGGTCCATTAGATCGCTATAGAGCTGTGGGACGTCTGCCACATCATGCACGTTGCACCTGGAGAAAAAGTGTAGTTTTTATGATTTGAGATTTGAACTGATATGAATTATGCTGAATGGAAGACTTGTATGTCATGCTTTAAAGAAAAAAACTGATCTAAACATTTTTGGGGATTAAGATTATTGCTAGTCAGACACCATGCATATATGTCTAATGGGCCGCAGAAAGATCTACTTACAGTGGATAACCATTCACAAGCTCCATAATCACACAGTGTCTATTGCAATCCACTGGCTTTGGTACTGGGAACCCTCGGTCATAGAGGGCCTTCATGTACGCAAACTCTTTGGTGGCTGACAGCCTAGACAGGTAGATCCAAGAGGCCTTATTCCTGTGATGATGATAATCACGCTTTTCCTTCAGCTTGCGGAAAGAAGTTCTCCCGAGCCTGGAAAAAAGAGAGATTTACCAAAGTTGAAATGGTGAAAGGTCATGTGCTGAGTGTGTGGGTATTAAGAATATGTTTCATATTGCTACTTGACTTATTTTGGGGAAGAAATATCATTAGCCTTGCTTTATGTGCATAATGTTTATCAACATCTAACAGCATGCCACTACCCTCATAACCTATCCACCAAGTCTTTGGCAAATTTTTTTTTACTTTTACATCAATATCTGCAATGACGGACAGCATCTCTTCCCACAAGATATTAAGATAGTAGGTGAGTAAGGTAAGAATGAAAACAAATATTATCATTTTAGACTCAAATCTAACATGTGGTAAACTATATTATAGTGAATCTCTTGAAACACACAATTAAAATGAATCCTGCTATTCTATCCATTTCCAGTCTGACCTTCTGCCATGTCCTCCCTCTTCCTAGTGCCCCTCCCTTCTTACCTATGTAGCTTCATGCACAATGGATTTCCAACTGGGTCACTCGTGACATAAATATCCGATTCTTTCCCAACACCAATCTGGCTGCCTACAGAGCCTAAGACTTCTCGGGAAGAAAGCACTTTCAGGGCCAAGTAGTCATAACCCATGTTTGTCAATCTGTAGCCATCATCTGAAAATAGAACAATTTTGTATCATCTAACATAAATCATAAAGATTCTGATGACTAAGAAAATTAATCTTATTGAGTAATGACCTATTTGTTTTACAAATCTTATGAAGATGAAAATGTAATTAATCTTAACTTTTACATATATATTCACCTGTGTTTGTAATGATCCTTAAAAAATTTAATGCTCTACAACTTATTACAACTAGGGAATAATAATAATAAACTTCTCATACGACAAATACAGCCAGATTAGTTACATCTCACTTACAGTGTTTTCCTCGCTCATATGCACAAAGGCGATGCTTGCAGAGTTCCCTGAGCATCCTGTGCACACCACCACCTCGCAGGTTGGCAATCTGTGTGACCAGAGTGATGGCACAAGTTCATGGTTCTTCATGCCCATTTCAATCTGGAAAGGGAATAAAAAAAAAAAGAACAACTGAATATTGCATATTTAAAACACACCAAAAGTAATTTCTTATAATTTCTGAATGTTCATATAGAGCCATCACTGAACAATCACGATAACAATACATTACTCAGAAATGTTGCATCTGAGACCTCATAGATGAAATAGGCTCTGTGCATACTTTGGGTTTCAATCTGGTATGGTTTTAATGGATGACAACTGTGCTTCTAAGGTAAATAGTGTATGGAGTGGTTACTTGAGGATATAAATACTGTCTCTTAAAAGCCAATTGTCATATCGAAAGTTTTATCTTCAACCTTTCAAATGGGTGGAGTCAAGACTTTCTTCAGACCACAAACACCATAATCGCAACACTAAAACGGTTATTCATCTGCGACAGTCAAGCGAAGAATGTGAGAATGATGAGATGAAATATCTAAATATAATTAGGGCTAAAAGGTACACATGTAGAGAATTTCCTTTTAACAAATGGGAGTTTTACTTACTGCTGTCAATATTCGGAAGTCATCCCTCATGAGATACCTCAGCATCGCCACCTTCAGCTTCCCCATCTTGACTAAAAAATCAAGTATCCAACCAATTCACAACAATGGAACACCACAATCACTCAATTTACACCGGGAAATTGATACACATACGAAGGACACGAACAAGTTCTCCACGTGCCTGGCCTACGAATGTAAACAAACACTGCTGCCATCTGGAGGCGAAAATATCAACTCCATTACGAAAACTCCAATAACTATATTTACAAATGTTTTCTTAATCATCCTCATCACATGAATATTTCTCAGGGATTATTAAGTTGATTATGGTGTAGCATAAGACCATATTTATATAATATCGGTTGTGTAATGTGTCATGCGCATTGCGAGCTTCCTTTCCTTACGTAAAGTGTAAACAGAAAGCCATGGCCGGCGCCCTTGTACGAAGGAATTTTCGCCTATTTTATCCCACTGCAATCAAATACAGGCCTAAAACCACCTATGTAGTCTTGTAAGGGAGAGTTCTGTAGTTGAAGTATTGTTAGATTTGCGTCATTATCATTATCAATGTGTAGAAAAGGAAGATTTATGAAGTATAGATAAGGTGTTTTTTAGAATTTATTATATCACTTACAGGTAATAGTTATGTTTATACGAGTTTTTATAGGGCAATGTGTTACGGTGTGCCTTATAGTCTGATTGAGAACTGAAATAACCAAAGTTTTCTTCACAGGTATTACTATATTCTCTATATCGATTCACTAAACTACATCTTACCTTGAAAAAACTTTTAGTAATTAACAAATACCGGGAGTGAATTATAGCATTATGTTTACTAGGGTTGTGGTGTGTTTGTATAGAAAATATTCACAGTGCTCTGCTTACTGCTTGCAACCAACTGATATTGATGGACTTGTCTACTACACATATATGTAGGATTATACCATGCAAACCCCCCCATACCACACAAACTTATTTCCCAGTGGTAGGGGAGGGCATGAACTTTATCAGGGATATTGCAGGATTAGATAGAGAGACATACAAGATTTGGGTGTCAAAATCTTCTAATGCACAGGGCTGCACCCCCTATTACCCACTGCAGGGATGGCTGTTTCCTCCAGTCCCCATCTTGTAAGTCAAAGAATCTGCTATTTATATATAGCATGGTGGATCATATGATCAATCACAGGGAGTTAAATCTTGGATAAAGTTTTATATTGCAGGAGGATTGTGTTCAGGGTGGGGTCTGGGTGTGGTAGCTCCCTCAAGGGGAAGGGTCATGAAGGGGCTGCATCCCTCAGCATAAAATCATATGGGTTGTACAGCTTATTTTTCTCAGTATTTAACCAGCATGATAGTTAAGAGCCTCTTTACTTCCATGAATATGATGAGAATTCTTTGTTTTTCAGGATAGGGGTTGGGGGTGACAGCCCCTGCCAGGAGAGTTGCAGGGAGTTGTGCTCCCAGTATTAGATATCATATTGACCCTCATCATATGTATATTCAATATAGCTCATTATTATGATTTACCTACAGTTTCCTTGGTAACCTTCATTCTCACCCCTACTATAGAAACCAATTTTTAGGGGAGTGGGGGAGTTACTGTGGCATAATTCCTACAAATATGAGCAGATGAGGGTGAGACTAATCCACTAGTGCCAGTGTGGTTATGATTGGGTGTGTGTAGGTATTCTGAACAATGTGTTCTTACAAAGGGAATAATTTTGAATTTTTATGCACTGTTTATTTCATATGATTTAGACAAATCTCTCAACAAATTTAAATTGAGTAGATATAACATGCATCATTCTTTGAATATTCAAATTTTTTCATATTAAATAACTGAATTCATTGTTAACAGGCTTCCAGAAACCCCTGTAGACACAGCCGAGGACAATGCCCTCCTTCGTACAGAGGACCTGCCACAATTCGAACAACTCACTCCAGAGAAATGCTGGACAGGCATTGGCAAGCTGGCACTGGAGTATGAATCTGGAGTTTGGGCAGTGGAAGAGAAAGCCAAAAGTAGGTAACATGTATGATATTTACAGATTTTGAATACAAGTGATTGCAGGAACTAATTACTAGTTATGATTATGACTTTGCTTCTTTCTGCCAGAAATGAAAGAACCTAAAACATTTAAGAACATAGTAGAAGAGTTGGACAAACTGGAGTCTCCTCTGAATACGGCATGGAGCACTGTGAAGACATTGTACACCGTCAAGAATAATGAGATGAACACCAATACGTACTTGAAAATTCACGAACGAGCACGCAAGGCTAGAGTGCATAAATTCCAGAGCCTTCCCATCTATGAGGCTTGTAAGGTGAGTTAGATTGTTATTGTTGTTATGTTTTTGTTCAGGTGTTGTTATATATGTGTATATGACTATAGATAAGTAAATGAATATAGATAGGCACGCACGCATACACGCATTCACACACACTCACACTCATACTCACTTACCTACAAACGCACACGCATATGCTCACTCGCATTCGCTCTCGCTCTCACTCTCACTCTCACTCTCACTCTCACTCTCACTCTCACTCTCACTCTCACTCTCACTCTCACTCTCACTCACTTATGCACATGCACTCACACACATGCAGTTACACATATACATATATATACACAGTGTATGAATTGCTTACAATAGAGATTTATACATTTTCATTGAGAAATAATTCAAAAGTCATATTCAAAGAAATCGAATATAGAAAAGGTTAAATAAATGTTGATTTTCTGTGTTATTTTAAAAGGCATTATTCAACCCCATGGATATCAGGTATGGTTATGATATTTTTTTTCCCTTGCGCAGGATATTTATGTAAATGACTCAAATCTAGACGAGGCACAGAGACGCGTTGTGCGTAAATTTCTTCTTGAGGCGCGATTGAATGGGATTGAATTACCAGCTGAGAAAACCCCCTTGTTTGCAGAGACGCTCAAGAAACTAGAAGATCAAAAAAATGAATTTAGGAAAAAAGTTGCTGTGAGTGTGACCTGAATTGTTCATTTGTGTTTTGATTACAGATAGAATATGATCCCCATATGAAAATAGAAAAATTAATTCTTGTTGCAGAAATATTTATGACAGTTGGATTTATACATTTTTCTATATTTTTAATTTTTTTTTTTTTCATTATCAGCATCTTTTTTGTTATATTTTCATAACTTCCTTTTAATTATTTCCGTCAAGTCCCCATTATTATCATCACTTCCCTCCACCATGTTTGATAGTATTCTTCAAATCTTTTCCTTCCCTTGCAGGAGTCAACAAATAGGTTCTCATATAGGATCACTGATTCAAGTCTCGTCAGAGAATTCCCAGTTGATCTCCTGAAGAACATGGCAGTTACCAGGTGAGTCAGGTGAATGCTTAATTTCAATAGTGCCGGAAAGAGAGCCATAGCTTTTCCATATGCAAGCCATATTATTGAGGTTCTTTATAACCGTCTTTAAAATGATGTTTTCATTAACAGGTCACGATATCACCAGGGCCATGGGATATTGTTCTTCATCCTCATGTTTATGACAGCTTTTTGGAGCATTGCCCGCTAACTGATCTACGGCGCAACACATACAGGGCATTCAACATGAGGGCATCAAATCATATAAGTAAAGATGTAAACAACAGCCTTCATCTGGAAGAAATTCGATCATTAAGGTATTCAGAAGTAATGAGCTTGCACATTCAAATAGCTGCTGTTGAATATTCGTTTGTATCACTGGATGTATAACTTCAGAGGCATAGCTGATGCTGAATACTGTACACTCATACAGTGATTTGTTCATAGTGGAAAACAGCTGTCATTCCTTTTCTAATACTCCCTTCCACTTCTAGGAGTGAACAAGCTAAGATTTTAGGGTATGAAAACTTTGCTCAGATGTCCATGGAGACCAAGATGGCAGGAAGTGTAGAGAATGTGATGTCAATGATTACCAGCTTGTTAGCTAAAGGTGAGAACTGTTGTGGTTTATTTTATTAGACTTCTTCACTCTTTTTAGGTGTATTTGTGTAAAGTATAATGATAACAGGGTTCCTGCACATCTTAAAAAATCTGTGACAAGTAGGCCTAAACACTAAGGAGGAATGTGGTTTCAGTGAAAAGTGGCTCCAGGTCTTAAAAAGCAGTTGGTATGAGTCTTAAAAATTTACATTTCATCAGCTGATACCTGCAAAATCCTGGATAAATAACTAGTTAATAGAAAATGACATTATAGTTGCATGAATGGATTGTAAAGGAATCAAAACTTTTTCTGTCTGGTTGAGTCCACATACCAATACTCTATTGCAAAATCCTCAAGTGATAGCATCTTTCAGGGGAAGACAAAATTTTGCTAAGATGAACCTGTACGATAACTGATGGCATTCTCAACAAGTAGAACAGAGTAAGCCTGAGGATTAAAGGTGATCTTTTTTCACAGCACGGAAGGCTCAGGACAAGGAAATAGCCAGTCTGCAAGAGTTTGCAGAGGAGAGAGGTTTTGAAGGAAAACTGGAGGCATGGGATGTGCCATACTGGAGAAGGAAGCACAAGCGTCATGTATTCAAGTACGTACTTACTCTGTGATGAGACTGCTGAGAAATAAAATGAAATATGCCAAAGTTTATTGTGCCTTATGAAAATTTAGGTGATGAAAAAAAATCATTATTACTTGTTTTACATGTTGAATTGGTTTATTTATTGATTAATTTATTTTGTCGCACTAGCTTTGATGAGGCTCAGCTCCAAGAATATTTTCCATTTGAGCACGTGCTGGTGAAGCTTCTGGAGATCAGTTCAGAGCTCTTTGGCATATCCTTCGAAGAAGTCCCAAGTGGAGAGGTTTCCACTTGGCACCCAGACGTACGGTTTTTCCAAGTGACAGATGCTAATGGGGAATACCTTTCGTCATTCTACCTGGACCCTTATAGCAGGTAGGTTTTTTGAGTAGATGAGATATTTTTTCTTACTTTTTCTCCTTTTCTTTTATTTTTCTCTCTTTTTTTTTTCTTATCTGGTACTTTAATGTGTGTTCTTAGATTGTAGAATAAACTCATTTTTATTCTTGTATCAGAAATAGTATTTCAACCCACATAATGATATTTGCTCTGGGTTACATTATAGTTAGATATTCTTTATATTGGTGATGACAATCATGATTCTTCATCTTAGTCCTGTTATGGTTGTCATTATTATGATCTTAATCTTGTATTGATATTATTATTTTGACATTATTTTTCTTGTTGCAGTTATAATTTTATCTTTTTATTATAGACCTGGTGAGAAGCTTTACACTCGAATTGGTTCTGCATGGATGCTTGGTTGTCGCAGTCGATCTGAGGTTGCAGGGACGTCACCCATTGCAAACTTGGTGTTCAACTTCAGGCCTCCTGCCTCTGAGGACCAACCTGTCTTACTTACTTTTGATGATGTTAATTTACTGTTCCAAAAGGTAATCTTTTTTTTTTTAATTGAATATGAAAGTAAAGGTTTTTAAATTCATGGCTTTGTTTTTTACTGTAATTTTGCCATATTGCTTATAGACATTAGCATGTTAATGATTGTTTTAAGAGGTTTTTATTCCTTTTTGGTATGAAGTGAAGTCATGGATATTTTTATTTTTTGCTTTTCAGTTTGGACATGCTCTTCAGCACCTGCTTACAAGAGTTCCCTACAGCGAGGCATCAGGATTAACTAACATTGAATGGGATGCTGTAGAAGTGTGCTCAAATTTCATGCAAAATTGGTAAATATTATAGTTGCTTTATTAATTGTGAGGGAGTGAAGAAATTATATATATATTTTTGTTATCATCATCTATATCATCATAATCATGACTGTCTTTGTTCATTGACATCTTCAATCATCATTGTTTATTTAGTATGAAAGTAGGTTAATATGCTCCCTCAAAATAATGTTTATCTGTCCACTTACCAGGCTGTACCAACCAGAAGTTTTGGAACGCGTGAGCTGCCACTTTGACTCCGGCTTGCCATTAAGTGGGTCAAGCATAAAGGAGATCATAGCCAGTCGCAACCACATGGCAGGCTTCGACATTTGTTCAGAACTCTACATTGCCCATCTTGATATTCAACTTCATTCATGGTAAGAATGACTTTTGTATATTTATATAATATTTGATCATTCAAAATCACGATATATCAGGTCCTCTCAGGATATTTAAGGAGTGATTTGAATTGCTTTGATTATTATAGGATTCATGTGACTTATTCATATTAGCATCCATATTATTTTTTTTTGTGGATGCCACTAACAGTATATATTTTAACTTTATTATTTACATTATCATCTCCAAAAGTGACCAAACTGAGTGTCCAAACAAATTTCCCACCACACAGCAAAGACTTCTGGCTAGATGTATCGCGCGAGTTGTGGGACAAGTACCGCCCCTTCGTATTAGACAAGTATGATGCTCATCCCTGTTCAAACACCACCATCATGGCTGACGTCTGGGCTGCTGCCTATTACTCACACATTTGGTCACGTATGGTAGCGGCAGATGCTTTCCAGGCATTCAAGGAGTCCGGTGAAGAGCATGAGGTCATTGGAAAGAGGTACTTGAACTTTCCCAAATGTGTTCTTAATACTACTGCAACATTTATTATTTTTATACAATAAATCAGACATCTTTACATAACCCCAAAATAATCTTTTCTCATTAATAAAATAAAATATGTCACTTTCAGGTTTTGTGATACTTTCTTGGCACTAGGAGGAGGATGCCATCCAGGTGAAGTGTTCCGCAGGTTTAGAGGCCGTGACCATCGCCAGATGCCCTTCAGGTTCTCTCCGGATTGGTTAAACACAAAGGTGCCGTCTCAACTTAACCATAAAGGAAACTGTTGTTAGAGAGACTTGTTTAAAATGAGGTTTGAGGTATGGGTCGTACAGTATCAATATTTGCGTGTTCTTGTGTAAGCTCCAATGTTGACAAAATATTACGTATCAATGAAAATATCCCAGTATATAGATAGGACAGATGTCAAACTTGCAAGAGGTATTAAGTTTCCCAGATTGCATCTCCCAATTTGAATTTAAATTTGTTAACAACATCATGGCGGCAGAAATGATTCAGAATTCTCTAGTTACTGATGTCCTGTCCACATGATAGAACAGTGCCTGGCAGACACTGACTGTTGCCATACTCACAGGGTTGCTGGTGACTGTCAGGGTCATCAGTTGAAACCTGGAAGGAAGCAAGCAAACCAACAAGCAGACAGCCTTATCTGGTTATTTTGCTAAGGTTTGCTGAACAGAAAGCATTAAGCAAGTGTCTGTCAGTCAGTGCTCGATTGTGTGGGTGTTCTATTTTTCCAGTTAGATTTCAGTGTTTATTAGAGCTTTGGAATTGTATATATGATGTATACTATGAAATGATCTTATCTTTCTACATGGTTATTGTCTGTATTATTTTGTAAATAAAGTTACAGTTAAGTAAATCTAAATAAATATTGAACAGTGACTTTTTTCATCCCTTCACTCTCTTTGATATTAATGGTAAGACAAAGAAAGCATATTGAAATACAATCATGATGCATTTTGTTTTAAAGAAGAAAAGTTAAGACACTTCTTTATCTGGATACTGTGTAATTTATGTTACTGTTTTTCCCTTGATTTTTATAAAGATTTTATTCTTTTTTTATTGTCATTACTTTCGCATTTCAATAATCAAAATCTCAATAAGAATAACATAGCATAAGGAATGGGGAAGTGAGGAGTGGTCAATGCAGGCCCTACTAATTAAATCCTTGGTAACTGAGTACGTGTGGAGCTATCTGTTTGCAAAATTGACACACACACAAAAAAACTTTCCTTTATACTATAAAATTGAAAAAAATGAGCCAGAGAAAATTGTATACATATCAGCTATATCCATAGGTACCATCATTACTGCATGCTATATGAATGTGATGATCGAGCTTAGACTTTGGATGAGAAGTCTTTTAACTCATTCATCAACTATTATAATGCCTGCTTTTCAATTAAATTTTACAAATGTGTTAAGTGTACTATAATTTTGTTTGAATTTGTAATTCATAATATACAGGTAATCATTGACTACTAACTCCAATCAATGCCCAAATCATGGCTCTAGCATTGCACTCATATAATTTGCATTAATATTGGTAACCCTGACTCTAGCACCAAGTTCAAGTTCATAGGACTTTAGAAAAAACAGAGCAACCTTAGACTTTACAATAGTGGCAATCATATGTAGTTTCAAAGACTTGATATCTATTAAATTTCCTTTATACATGTTATATGTTTTCCATAGCTTGGCTCACTCAGTGTTTTTTTTTGTCAGATTATAGTAAATGGATATAGTTAATGAAATAAGTGAAGAAGACGTGTATGACAACCCTCTTTAATAGAAAATCTATCATTATAATGTAGAATTGAAAAAAATTGCCATCGCAGATATCAGTAAGATGTACCGCCCAACACATTTGATATCAAATGAATGTCCTTTATATGTTATCTTTTTTCTGTAGTATGGCATCAAATGATGTCTACTATTTTATTATACCTTTGTTTATAACATTTTCGTCTTGCCACTGTATCCCCCAATTAAAAATTCTTCTTGATCTGGAAATAAGCCTATTGCATGATATTGGAATTGGTTTCAAAATTTCCAGCATCGATATGAATACACTAATTCAAAATTAACAATTACAATCTGGGGTAAAATTAAACATCTTTTATTTTTATATTTACTTGTATATACATGTTAACAATATTGAATAATACATTTTATATTTTCTGCAGTCAATTTCATTCATACACATGCTATACCAATGCAGAAAATGTGATTGATCATACAAAGAATATTGATGTTTTGACTTCTCACATTCACTGGCAAGGGTTTTCCCAAAAAACTGGAAAATTTTTGCGCACTTAAGCCATGTAGTCGGCTAGCACATCTGATACAAAACTGATAACAAATAAATTCTCAACAGAAAATTAGTAAATTCCATTACAAAGACAAACATTTTTTACACCTTCACTGGATATTGATGAGTCTTTAATTTCTACTCTGTCAGAAAAATAATCAGTTGTCTTTCACCACGCCAACCTGAGCTGACCTAATACACCTTGAGTGTAGTGTCCACCCTAGGCGCAACAGTGTTGCAACTGTGCCGGGTTTTTTGTCGGGCAAGGGCAGTTCAAACATGGCCTCCTGCTGTGATGGGTCGAATTTCTCACCTATTACAGGCTTGATCTGCTCCAGTCCATGTCGCCGGGAAAACACCTGTGTTGGGATGGGGGAAAAAAGGAAATGGTGAAATGGCAAAACATTATATACTGGCACACGTTTTAAACTTTCTAGTTATCCCCCCATTTACTTATCTTTACTTCTTTTTCCACTGTCTAAGTTCGTTGTCCCATCCCCTGTCAAGAAACAAATACTCACCGACAGAAGCTGGGTCTCTGTCATCACGAGGCCATCGTAAAGATTCTTCAATTCGGGACTTCCCTTTTGTACTTGTTCTTCTGTGACGCTTTCTATTGCCTTCCGGAACACGTCTGAGACCTGGGGAGCGAAGGAGAAAAATAGAATGCAAAATGTGAAATTCATGGTACATACAGAAAAAAATGCACATAGGTTTAAATGCAGTATAAATTCCATTATATTTCAGTCTCTATTGTATGTAACCAGTCAAGAAAAAAGAAACTAAGAAAAATTATTATCAGTATTTCTAAAAAAAAAAAAAAAAAAAAAAAAAATGTGATTTACTTTCATGAAAGCTGCAAATAAGCATTAAGTGACAAACTGATAATTCAATCTATACTTACCTCTAGGAGATCTTTGCAAAATCCCTGAATACCATACTGCTTTGCATCCACTATCTGCTTTTCTAATCTAAGTCGTACATTTTCTCTATCTGCTAAGGTCCGCTGATATTTATCCTGTGTATTAGGTAGAGAGATTGTAAACATTATGTCACTGATATGTAAAATATTGAGACCATAAACATATAAAAAGTTGTCATAACTAACAATATTTTTACAATAATAAAAAATATACCTAATTGTAATCAATATTTGGCATTAGAGCTGTGCACCTATTAGATACAGGTCCAAAATACCGGAACGCTGGTGTACCAGAACTGGACCTGTATGGATCTAAATAGACTTACATTTATGCATGTATATTCCGTTATTGTGACTAAAGCATTTAAATACAACTACAATATAACAATTCACCTCTTGGAACATACTACAACATTGCTAACCTCCTGCCTCCAGAATAGTAACATTTTAAACAAGCTTTCAACACAATTTCATTCACAAAGCAGGAGTGAGCTACAACACAAGTGTCCATTCATAGAGTGACAATATCTCTTGCTGTGGTCATTGGTGCTTGTGAAAAATTATAGATCCCATGTAACAGGCCTGTGTCTGACAATTAACCATTCTGTTTAATCTGTTTAATCTTCTTGAAGATCGACCATTTTTTGAACAAGTAGTTCAGTACCCTAAACCCATGTACCTTTACCTGTTCCTGTTCCATTACCTAAAATTTGCTATGGTACACAGCTCTTTTTGACATCATCTAGCTGGCATTATCAGCTGATACTTCTATATTTTTCTGATGTTTCTCTTTCCAAATTATGTTTACTCCGGAACTCCTAATCTTAATATACATTTACAAAAATCTAAGTAAGAAAATATAAAGATAAAGAGTGCACGTGTTATTTCATACAGTCAATCTAAGCGTCTGCTAGATTTTTCCCTATGTACAAGTGCCAAGATACCTAATGCATTCAAATCCAAATTAAATTTTGTCTCTACATGCTATGAAGATTCATTGTCGTATAAGAAACCAATCCAAGCTCAATCTTGCTAAAATGTGTAGAGGATGCTTGATCTTCATCAGAGTGCAAAGGCAAAGAAGCCACAGGAATTGTATGTAATAGGTTTTCAATTTGAAATTTCCCAATGACTTGTCACTAATCAAAATTATCTCAATCTAGTGATTGCATGTACTCTGTATTCTTTTCCTTATGATCTGCAGAAAAAAAAAGACCATTAAAAATCAGGCTGAAAAATTTACCTGAAGGTCAGCAACTTTTTCTGTTAAAGTTTCGTTCTCTTTTGTTAAAGTAGTAATCTGTTCCTGTAGCTGTTTTTCTGCTTCAGATGCTTCTGTTGACTGTTCTGCTGTAGCAGAAAACTGACGTGGGTTTCTATTAACCCATCTGTAAAATAAACAAATGTGAGTGATCAAGCCAATTAAGTGACTAATATTCACTTGTAATTGCAAAGTGATTATGGAATCTTTGTATAGGCTTATAATACTGAACTATATACATAAACCTTTTGATAAATAAATGTACTTTCACATTAGTACTTTGACTAACATTTATGTTGTCAAGCATGAATTAGGTTTCAAGTTCTCACACACCCATACACACATGCACACACCCATGCACACATGCACGCACACTCGCACGGAAGCACCCACCCACACACACACCTCCAAATGGATCTAATGGATCTCATAAGATATTTAATGGAAATCATATTGATTTGTAGTTTTATATCAATTTTACATGACAGAAGGCAGCAGGCTGTGGAGCATTTGGAGGGACAGAAACAGTTCCAGTACAAGAAATACGAGCGGGATGAAGTTCGGCAGCAATGGATTTGTCAGCGAGATCAGTTAGCGTAGATAGTGAACGAGCTTGGGATTCAGATGTAACTTGTGACAAGGCGTGAATGATCAGAGCAACTGCGTAAGGTAACTGTGCCTACTTGTTTCTGGAGGCAATGTTGAACGAGAAGTGTATTCTCAGAGTAAGGGGCTGTGGGGGGGAATCAAGAATTGATCCCACTTGGTTGGGCTAAAGGGAGTACTCAGAAGGTTTCCAGAGGTAGAGCAGTAGAAGGACGAGAGAGAAGAAGATGGGTTGGGGTGGAGTGGAGCGGCTCTGTGAAGGGGAGGACAATAAGGATAAAGAGAAGTACTAAGAGAAGAGGGTGGATACTGAAGAAAATAAATTTGTAAGTATTGTGGTCCATTACCTCTAAAGGAAATAATACTGGAGGTATTAATTATAAATCTTCCTGAATTTACGACCAGTCTAAATCGGTCCTCTGTTTTATTCAAGAAGTTTCTCATTAGTGATCAAGAAATTCAATCTAATTGCATAAACAGGGTTGGGCAACAGGAAACTCTAGTTTACCACTATGAGAAGTTGACAGGTATAAACCAGTGCAAAAAGTTGATTTATATATTTATATAATCATTGCACTAAGATAGGGAAAATCTAAGGACAGTGCCACAAAGGGAGGAAAAAAGTACACAAATGATACATTCAGTAATTTGCACATATTACGAGTATAAAAAATAAAAATATGAGACAAATAATGAAGTGCAGAGACAAGTCTGCAGTGACTGGCTGGAGGTCTGAGTGCAAATCCCTGCAATGGGAGGAAGACTTTAATACGAAAAAGTTTGTAAATTCCCAAGAGTGCCCCTAAGGTTGTTAGCTGAAGCAATAGGGACTTTGCTTCAGAGGTGTGCAATAATTTCTTAAATAGTTACCAAGTGGTTAAATTACAAAGCCGTTCCAAACACTGTGAGCATACATCTGGGGTGGCTGGGTGCAAGGTTGGCAATTTTATTTTACTGCTGCCCTATATCAAACCCACAAGGCAATGCCACTGCCCTAAACTACACAAAACATACACTTAATAAGTTATCAATTATGAATAAGTACACAACCCTTTTTCTTTGCATTCTCGAGGAAATAATTGATTTGCAACCAATACACAAGACAACTTTCACACAAGTATAATATGGTTGGGATAAAGATCGAGTAAACCCTTTATTACAATGTGTGAAAGATAATAAAACACATTAGTATATAACAGAGTTCCGTGCATCGTCTCATGAGGATCCTCGGAAACTCAAATAAACAAATCTACCGTCTTTCTCCACATTCCATTTAATTTAATTCAGTAATTCGAATAACCATTATTTTTAAACACCATTTAATCACGTTAAAAACAAGTATTTTTTCCGTCTCACAACCCAAACAAAACACGTCGTCTGCAGTCCAACATCGCTCCCTCACATTCACCCTGTAATTCACAATAAACACACAAAACGCCTTAAAATCATACCACAAATAAGCGTCACAACACCAAAAAAGAATAAATCTTTACCCAAGGGCTGTAGTTTGCCTTAAGAAGCAGGAATGTTTCAAAATGTTTCTCAGAGGAAGGTTTCTCACGCTCATACTAGCCATTGTGGTCCCTTGTGGTACAACTACAGGCTCACGCAATCCATTCTCGCGGACGGAGAACTCAAGCCGGTTTGAGATGATGACGTCATACTCAAAACTTATGAGAATAAAAACTTGTAAGTATGACTAAGAACTCTTTATATATTATTGATAAAATGTCAGTGATTTTTTTCAAAAGCTATCATTAATATAGGATCATAAAGGCATCGTAGGGCCTCAATATCATACAAGCAGTGTAGTATATTGACGTCATAATCTCAAACTAGCTTGATACAAGGGACCGCGAGAATAAACATGGATCCGTATGAGGTTACATCATTATTTCAATGAATATATAACTGATTCTGTTTTTCAGCAACTGGAAAAGGTTGATTGAAAATATATTTTAAGTCTTTTAAAGTGAATTAGTGAGGGAAATAAGGTTGTCGATGCAAGTTAAGTATGCCGTAAAGTTGAGAGCATAATTAGAGGACACAAGTGTGTTATATAACTTTTTGATGTATGAACAGTTCTGATTTGGGTGGAGGATAATACAAATAATATGACAGAATTTACGTAAACATTCATTTCTTGAAAGTTATCACAAGGCAATTATTTCATGTTAGAAATTGTAAAAGTACCGGCATATTGCTCCATAACCTCTTTATAAACACGTTATGTAAAGAAGTTCTGTTTATTCATTTATCGTATCCTTTAACAAGTGCTTATTATCAGTTTGTATCTTCCTTTATATTTATCAGTTATAGTATCTCTCTATTTTCTCCTCTCCATATTGTGTTCAAAAAATGTTAAACCCTAAATGAGTGATAGAAAAAGTAATACTACTAAAGTATAAAATATACCATATACAAGTAAGGAATCATTCAACAAATATTGGCGCAAATAAGAGAGAAATAACAGGTATATAGCCGACTGTTTATTAATTCTTTACTTACAAAATTTCTTTTAGGGTCGTACCCAAGTACCCAACAACAATGCATTGTGATGTAATTTACGTAATTGTCGTTCGAATAAAATTATAAAAGGATAATTGATAATAAAGACTTAAAACATACAAATAACATCACACTAAGTTTTATATAAACTTTGTTGGATCTCAGTTCCCATAAAATTGTTTTAGCGCTGTAACTTCTCGCAGTGTTTTTGAAAGAGTCAACACAGCGGAGATTGAAATTTTGGCGTTTTTCGTTCTTATTAGCTCAGGTAGGTAGGTATTACGTGATTGTCTATTAGTATTTGTAAATTAGTATCTTTCCAAGGCATTGGCGTGGTAATTATTGTTATAGATTTTACAAAATGACTAAAAACAAGGATTTTTTTTCGCGCCTATTCCATCAACACGGATTTTTACATCTCCAGTTTTGGAATTGATCACTTTATTATTAGAGAAGTTTCCAGTAGAAATAAATAATGGATTTGGACTAAACACACGGTTCCACTCTAATATGAATATATATCTTATAGCTGGAAACAAACCTATAATTTCCCTCCATTCTTACTTCTCTCAAAGTTCAAGGTCAGTTCTGTTTTTGATACAAAGTCGTCCAAGAAGTTTATTTACAAGCTTATTAAACAACTCAGGATATAGATACAGATAAAGATATAAGATATCCATGCTTTTCTGAAAGTAAGTATATGAGCAAGTTTAAACACTACTTATTTCAATTATTTGTTTTAAGAACGAGTGAATTGAATTGTTTAGTTACTGGGCTTTGAAAAATAGGGTTTTGTTTTATTAGATTTGTTGCTTGGGTTATTACTGTAGGTTTCATGTGGATTTTATTAATTATACTGAAACTAGGGCACTGTTCTTTGTTTCATTTTTTTGCACGCCATTGCTGTTATATGTAAATAGTTAGCTTAATTATGTTTATAACCCCCCCCCCCATTTTAATTGTTTTTCTTTATAAATGAATGATTATTATTTTCTCAATGATGGTATTCTTAATTATAGGTATTTGTATCAAAGTCTAATCCTTCTGTTATTCTGGAAGTTGTATGTCACAAGACAAACCTGTAACTGGGCAGGTGTTATGATATTATATGAAGGAGATTCTTAAGTGAAATATTTTGTATTGTTTATGTCTACCCATATTATGTTTGCATAAATTAGGAAGGAGAATATTTACTATGATTAACTTGGTAAAATTTGTGAAGAGAGTTGCTGTGACATTCAAAATGGGATTTTTCACTTATAGTTATGATGTCAGTTGTCTTTTGAAATCCTCATAAAACTTGCTGTTGTCTTTGAGGGAAAGTTTGTGATCTTAAGTCCAACTTCACTGGTTTTCTTCTTAGATAAAGTGTTGAAGTAAATTGTAAGCATTACGCACAATACTCTTCCGACCTGACATCTCTCCTTTTCTTGCAGGTGATGGATAATCCAGGTCGCAGTTTGTATTTTGGAGGCAGCATACATGTCGATGGGATTAGAGCTCCAGACCAGGATGAGGAGGAAGAGGATGAAGAGGAAAATCGAAAGCGAGAAGCGGAGATCCAGGGGATGTTGGCAAATGCCTTTGATGACTTAGAGGAGGATGAGTCTTTTGCCCAACAGTCTGGCTATAATTCCTTTGCCTTCGGAAAGGAAAGAAGGGATTCTGCCTATTATGAAGATGGCCGAGGAGGAAAGGAGCACAGTGAGGCCTCGTACAGGAATTATGATATTGGAGACAGACACGGGGATAATGTATTTGATAGGCTCGGAAGTGAGTCACAGGACAAGAGGGTTGATTTTGAACGTAGAGGAAGTTACAGTGAGAGCTATAACGTGCAGGAACACCAAGGCCATGGGATCCTCAATGGAGACCATGCTTCTCATGCCAACAGTTCAGGAAGTGTCACGCCATGGAGTGATGATAGCCATGATGAGGAAAGCTCTGAGAGGTTTACCCTTTGGCTTATCATGAAACTGCTCATGACCCTTACCACATCACTGCTCATGATGAACACTGGTCTAGATGTGGATCACAGTGACTATAGACCGGATGCACGCAAGGAGTACGGGGAGAGCTCGCTAGTATATGCTGACCAAGTGAATGATTATCAGGCTGACAAGTATAGATCACTTGTTAACAGAGAAGCACAGGAGAAAGTTACTGAGGCAGAGTTTCGTGCTGCTGACACTCCACAAGATCAGATGAAGCTGTTGTATGAAGCTCGGGGAAGGGAACTGGACAGGCTGTCATCAGAGCTGTCGACACTGAAGTTTGAGAGTAGCCGTGACATTCGTGTGCTGCAGCACCAAATTAATCTAGTCACATCAGACAGTGAAAGCAAAACAGCCAACATAAATCAGTTACAGACTTTGCTGTCAGAGAAAGAAGAGAGGATAAAGAGCTTGGCAGTGGATCTGAAGGAACTCCAGATTAAATTAAATGACAAGGAAAAATGAAAATAAAAAGTTACATTTTGAGTTAGAGACAGCACAGTCAACCATATCGAGCCTGGAATGTCAAATATCAGAACTCAAAGCTGCTGACACACTTACAAGGAACCAGAAATTACATGAAGATTTTGTGACAAAGTTGAAACAAGGTAATGAGGAAGAGAGGGAGATGCTGTTAAGTAAACTACAGGTTACACAAAATCAAGCTGAGCAGCATGAAAAGGAGGTGACTCGACTCAGAGATGAACTAAGGAGTCTAAGAGCAACTTATGATGAATCTCTGGTTCAAAAGACTGAAACTGTGACAAAATTAACAGTGACCAATGAAACTTTGCGCAAGCAGTATGAGGACCTCATGAAGTCCCATGATGGCCAGCAGATAATAGAACTGCAGATCAAGGTCAGAAGTCTGGAAGCCACCAAGGACAAACTAGAGAATCAAGTTTGTTCCTTAGAATCTGAACTAACAAAGGCAAAAGAGGAGATTGATGGATTTGACACAGCAATGAAGCTAGGCATTCTGAGTGAAGTAATTCCTGGTGAAGACTCTATGGTTCAGCTTGGAATAAAAAGGGCACTGAACTATGATGACACTATACCAGGAGAACGACAGGCAGTTGGGGAAAAGTACACCGAAGCTCAGGAGAAAATAAAGTTAAAAGAAGAATTAAAAAGAAGTTTGATGAGCAACAAAGCAAAGAGAGATGAGATTAGCCAAATGCAAGAGGAAGCTAGTGGGAAACAACTGAAGATTAAAAAGCTAGAGAGTGAACTGAAGTCAGCTCAAACAGAGATCAAAGAGCTGAAAAGCAATCTTCTAAAGACGGAGTTAGCACAAAGAAAAAACCAACAAAAGGAAAAACAGGGAACCAAAAATGAGGATGGAGAGCCGACCGCTCTTTATGCCGAAAATGTTGGTCTGAGAGAGGAATTGATTCTCTTGCATGGGTCTTTAAGAGGCTTAGAAGAATCATTTGCAGCAGTCAAAGATGTTGTTGAAAACTGGCAGCAGAACTTGCCCAATTTAACTCGGGAAACATATGATGACTGCATGAGACGATTTGATAAGCTTATTGCTCTTGCTGATTTATGCTCTAATTCTGTGAAAGACATGAAGCATTACCATGACTTAATTTCTAAAGTGCGGGATGAAAACAACAACATGCAAAAGAAGCAAGCACTTTGGGAGAAGCAAGTGGACAATGTACAAATAAAGCTGAAAGTTTTTGAAAAGATGGTTGTTTCAGCTAAGACTGACTTGGCAAATGGCTCTGAGTATGGGCACGCAGTTAATGTAATCGAAAGACTTCTCAGGGATTTCATAGAGCAAACGCAATTTGTCAAAAAGGATATCCGTACCTTACAGAGCACCGAGCTCAGTCTCAAAGATGACCTAACAAAGGCCAAGCTCCAAGTGGCACAGCTTCAGGGAACTATTAATGATCTAAAGAATGAAGAGATATGCATAAGAAAAATATTGATGTTCTGGCTGAAGAGAAGGAAAGGGAAAAGAAGGAAGCATTAGAAGATTGTCAAGACACTTATATGCGTTTCCATGAGGATGCTATGAAGGAACTGGAAATGAAAATGAGAAAGGAATATGAAAATATTTCCAACATACTGAAGAAGGAAGTAGCTCGACTTGCTGATGAACTCAGTAATACTAAAAAGATGTATATTAGTGTGTGCGAGGAAAAGAAAGAGTTAGAAGATCAGTTGAACATGAAGAAGGATGATAATACAGAACCTTCAACAACACCAATGATGCAATCAAACACATATCGCGTTTCCCCTCACGATTCTGGGGTGGATATTAATTCTTGTCAAAAAACTGCTGTGCCATTGCAATACACTAAGCAAATACAGGATCTTCAAGCAGAGATTGCCAACTTGAAAGAAGCATCAAAGAAAGAGAGTGAAAGGATAGATTTACTTAAAGAAAGTCTTCAAGTACAGTTTGAGCAGCGTTTGAAGGTGGAGACAGAGGCAGCACGACAGGAGGCTCTGAAATCATTGGACATGTTACAGAAAAAGTGTTCTACTTTAGAGGAATGTAACCAAATCTTAAAAGATAGCTGTACTAGCTTGGAGGAAGAACTGCAGAATGTCAAGGAGACGAACAACAATTCTGAGACTTGTTCCAAGGAGATTGAAAACTGTCGGTATATACTGGAGAGGCAGCGCAAGCAGTTTGAGAAGAAGGAGGAAGAGCTTAGAACTCAGTACGAGAAAGAAATTGGAGATTTCAAGAATCTTCTTGCAGCGACAAAGAGCAAAAATCTGCAGGAGAGTGAAACAATTGCTGAATACAGAAAAAAACTTGGAGAAGGGACAAGAAGATACAGTTGGTTATGGAGGAATTAGTAAGAGTAAAAGACAAGTTAGAGGCAAAGGAAGCTGAGAGTGAGCAGGAAGTGCAGCGAATGACGGACATCATCCTCAACTTAGAGAGTGAGGTGAAGGAGCAGCAAGAAGAGAAGAACTTCACTCGAGCCAATTTCCAGAAGATGATACAAGACCTCCAAAATGACCTTGTGCTTGTTAAACAGAGTCTCAAGATTTCTGAAGATCGCTTGAATGAGTATAAGGACTTAGACCGCAAATACAAGTCCATGAAACAGAAATATGCAAAATTCCAAGCCTCTTCAAAAGAACAAATAATGCACTACAAAAGTGAACTGAAAAGACTGAATACAGAGTATGACAAAGCTAAAGAAACATTGCTTCAAAGAGTTCAAAGTTTCATTGAAGAAATAAAAGGAAAGTGTGCCATATATATCGACAGTACGGTTAACTCTTCAAAATATAGACAGTGGAAAGTATTCACTTGGCAACACAATAACTCAGTTGCAGGCATTTTCCAGAGAACTAAAAAGCTTTTCATTGCAATTAACTTGAGAGTGAATGTAGTGTTCTATTTTTTCTTTTCTTTTAAAAACCAAAGAATAAATTTAAAAGTGATTCTGTGATAGTGGTGTGTGTGACCAAGGAGTTGAATATGTTTTTTGTTTTTGTTTTAATTCATGGGAATAATTTATTTCAGGGATATATTTTTATATAAAGTATAGCTTTCATTTTTCATACTTGTTATATGAATATGAACACAGTCTTTTAAGGAACAAACTTTGATGGGGAATCTCTATGTTCCTGTACATAAGTGTATATAATTTTGTATGATGAATGTTAACCAGATAGGACATAAGACATCACATGTATGGTTAATGCCCGATAATAAATATTAAATATATATATATACAAGTTGTACTTAAACCTTGGCATTGGGATTTCATTAAGTGTTCAGTTTGATGTGATTATGAAAAAAAGGGAGAAGAAAATTATAGAAATAATTTTATTGCAACAAGAATAAGGCAGATTGAACATCCATAATTTTTACTGGTTTGCTAAATTGCAAGATTGGTAATATTTGGCAGTTATATATTATCCATTATTATTATATGTAATATGTAATTAGAATTATAAATCTGCATAAACTTTACACACAAATACACATAATATTTTGAAAATGAACATGCACATAAACCTGAGTGTTTGTGTATATGCATTCATATATATATGCTCACATATATCATATACCTTTGCATATACAGAATTCACATTGATAAGAAGTGAGTAAAATTTATTTCAAAAGATATATATCTATTTATCAATTTGTTCATCAATCATAAGAAAGGTGATATTTAATGTATTTCATTGTCCAATACCCTAATTAGAAAGTAATATTCATTTGATTCTTCAGAGGAAGATGACTGCAGTCGGCACAGCACTCACTTTAGAAGCCCTAGAGGAGGGTTTTCCGAAACAAGATTGCTGCTTTACAGGTTAGGTTTTCTAATTTCTTGTTATTAATGAATCTATTTGTCTCCCTGTCTATTTAATTTTATATTATTACTATTATTATTTATTATTTGAAGTCCTGGAGTGCAAGAGATTGTTATTAACTTTTGTAGTTTGATTAATGATATGGTAATACTTTCATGATATTTATGAAGAATTTGAGGCTTTAGAAGTCAGTCCTATTAGTAACTGTGGCAGGCTGTTTATGAATTATTACTATTTTAAATGTACCTACATGTAATTATTATTATTTAAAAAAAGAATAGACACTGGGAAAATAATTTTAGGGTTTCTTGCTTTGCTTATCTTCCTTTCCTAGAATACCTCCCCTTCTCTTCCTTCCCTACTTTACTTCCTATTTCTTCCTCAAACTTTGTTTCTTTTCTCTCTCATTTCCTCTCCCTTCCTTCTCCAGCTCTCTCCCCCATTCATACCCATCCACTTTATGCTGTAGATATGTTCCGATCTTCGTGGCGGCTGGAAGGAGGACACGGTGATTGAATTCGGACAGCTGAAGCAGGAGTTGCAGTTCATACGGTCAGAAATTTTTAGGTTCAAAGGCATTATCACCAGCTCCAAAAAGGACCTGCTCACTGCACATACTCTCCTAGAGCAAATGCAAGAACTGTGCACCCGACTGGCGCACATGAAGACCAACCTCCCATCCCACCTGCCGAGCAAATGCCAATCCCTCCATCACTAAGGTCTCCCTGAGCATGTGGTCGCAGACAGTGACAAAAAGAACAAAGCTAGTCAAGAAAAAGTATGTTTAAAATGGAATTGGTCTCATTGTTTTGAAATTTTGTTTTTGCTTATTGATGTTGATTTATATATATATATATATATATATATATATATATATATATATATATATATATATATATATATATATATATAAATTTTTTTTTTTTTTTTTTTTTTTTTTTTTTTTTAATGGCACACTTGTTTTGAATATTCTGATTAATGGTTATCATTATCATTATTATTTTTGCAAATGTGTGGTGACTGATATTTATGATGATGATTATTTTTTATTTATGTTTATTTTATTTTTACTTGTCCAAGAGAAGTCATTCAGAAAGAGTACAGGTCACATTTGTATGAAATGTTTTATTAATGCATATTCCTTTTCAAATAGCAGGCACCAAAGAAGGACTCTGGAAAGTCATCTCAGACTCCTACCATTTCTTATGTGACAGTGAAGGAATTTAATGATGTACCCAAGTAAGTCTAATGTAATGATTTCTGTCTTGATTGCCTTTCTCCTTTCTTTCTGCTTTAAAAAAAAATCAGAATTGATATGAATATTGTGGCTACTGCCTGTGCTCTTAGACATTGCATTTCTTGTGTACTTTGGCAGAGTATTTTTGGAATTGGTGTAATCCACACTAAGTTATACCTTAGAAATAATAGCTGTATTTTTAAGATAGTCATTGGTTCATTAGTTTCCTTAGTATATGTTAAGACTATATATGTTCTTTACCTGATAAAATCTTTATATTTTAAGTATTTTCAAGATTTCAGTATATGTTATATTTTATGTGATCTTGCCTTTTTACCTCCATGATATCATATCAAATGCAAATTTATAAGTTTCCTGCAATAAAATGTTTTCAAATGGCATAATGTAAAGTATACTAGGAAGAATTTCTGTGTTTGTGGTTTAAAGGGTATTTCCGTATCACATGAATGTGATTCATGTTTGATAAACATGCATGGTCTTATTTTCCTCATATCATTTCTAAAAAACCTTGGTGTGCTTTACTCTGTCATTCAACAAAACTGATACAATTCATCTTGTCTTGGTAGGTATATTCGAGGACGTCTACAGTATGACCAAATAAATTTGGCAGTTGATGAGGTCAACAAGACGTTAGAAACCAAGTATGCCCTTTTGAGGCGTCCACGTGCTAAGCTTTCCGATGTTGACATGAAGGTGGCAATGGGATGCAGGCAGCAAGAAAACCAGGAGACCAAAGGTAGGTTAATCAATGGCATGGTTTTGTTTCAGTGATTGTTGATGGTTATTTTCAGTTTCCTTAGTACTTCTCTTAGATATATATTTGTAATGACCCTGTAATTTATCATCATGGTTTTAACAATATTTATGGCTCAAAATTTGCTTTCACTAATAAAGAATACAGTACTAAAAAACCTTATCAAAATCTGATTCTATTTCCAAATAATTTCAGGTCTGTATTTTGTAGTTGATAATGACATCAAGCGCTGGAGTAGCTTGAAGCTGGACAGCAATGGTCGTTCTATCATGACTGCTCTTCGCACACTCAAGCGCATAAGAGAAGTACGCGGACCAGGAAACTTGGTGCGATATGCAGTCCTACTCTGAGAGGTTGCAATTTTTTGGTAGTTGTGATAAAAAGACTAATTTTGTAGTTCCTGCAGGTATGTTATAAAAATGTTTCAGTCACAAAAGATCCTATGAAATTTATTGAAAGTTATAAAGTGATTTAATTTTTATTGGAAACACTTGCATAGGACTTAGGTGATTATGGTACATATTTGCATAATTTTTTTTTTGGAAAAATAATTATTTTTCATTACTTGAAGGATATTGAAAATTGCATTAAGGTTTTGTATGAATTGCATGGAAATAAAGCATAGATTATATTTGAGTTTTTCATCCCCATGTTAGAGCACAGGAAGTAATCTAATGGATCCTTATTTATTTGTAAGCCCCAAAAAACTCCTATCTGCAAATTCATCATAATGCTATTTGAAGCCATAGCATCTGTTTGAGCCCACAATCTACACATACACAACCTTGTCCACACAATCGAGCACTGACCAACATACTCAATGACCATTTTTTTTTCAAACAAAGTTGATGAGAAAACCAAGGGAGTGCCATGCCTATGGTCTTGCAAAATCAGTAGATAAGGCTGTCTATCTAATAGTCAGACCATTTGCTGCTAGGTATGGAGAGAGAATCTGCCTGCCAAATACCACCACATGTGTATCAGAGACATGCTTTGCAAGAGAAACACAAATTCTGCTAGGTATGGTTTGTCTGGTGGGGGCTTAACTGAACAACCCATAATCTATAGAAATATTAAATTAAAGAACAAAAGGAAAATGATGTATAATCTTTTTATGATATACTGGACACATTAAAAGGTTATTAATTTTTCCATATTATCTATATATCAAGTTCCCATGATCCTGAGCCTGTGGGGTTACTAACTTGTATAAAGTAACATTCCTAATACATTATGCTCAAATGTTTTTGTAAATGCAGGTCTCCATAAGCTTGCCAGAGAAGTCACATTAGGGGGTGGGGGAGAAACTGGATAAATAACCAATTCCACTTGGAAATACGTCACTAGCTAGTAGTTTGTCTGCCTATGATGTCATTTCTTGCTCACATCCTGACGATCAGGCCTGCTTGTCTGAATGTGTCAATGTGAAGAGCAATCATTGTACTTTTTTTTTTTTTTTTTTTAAATAGGTATATATATATTTATATATATTATTATATATATAATATAATATATATATATATATATATATATATATATATATATATAATGCAACATATGCAAATTTCCAGATTCTCCCCCAGTAACTGGACTGAAGTATTTTTTCTGCTTTCATTCCGAGACAAATTACGAAGTCCTGTAAATGCAAGCCTGCAAACATACTTTGTAGAGATATTGGGTATATAATTGTATGATCTTCTGGAGACAATCCTTCCTATACTTATAACAGACTTCATTCAAGCTCACCAGTGTGGAGAGCTTCTGAGAAAGAGAGAGTGAGAGAGAAAGTGAAATATATAGACAGAGAAAGTGTGAAGTAAAGAGAGTGCATGAGAATGAAATAGTGAATCTCATAAAGACAAAATGTTAAGTCTTCATTCTCCTGTAATATTATGCTTTTTATATATAATTAGGTCACATACATAAAAAAAAACAGGAAAGTTTTGTGTGTTTTTATTTTAAAGAAATGTAGTACAAAATATAATTTTCTTGTCTAACAAAATGGAATGGATTTTTGTTTTCCATACAGGCACTGGTGGTAAGTTTACATTTGTATGGAAAATGTTAAGTAATATTTATACTTTGGATCAACAAAATTAAGTAACTTTAATAAAGGTCTTTAAAAATATAATGTACTAAACTAAATATCTTTAAAAAAAATTGCTTTTACTGTTGACAAACAATGATTCCTTTTATAGCTTTCCACAGCCTTTCCACTTTTTTTTCTCTTCTACCCTATGGTTACAAAAAGTATGAAAAACCTACACTATTATGGTGCAAAAGTAATAACACCCAAGTGACAAAAGTCAGGTACAGAACCCCCCAAAAGTCAAAACAACTAATTAATTCAATTTGTGCAAAAAAATGAATTCTGGAAACAAAATCAATTCTTTTTTCCATATAAAATTTTGAATTCTTAAAAAAGAGAAGTTAAAGAGGTTTTATAACAAAAAGATTACAGGAAATCTTTAAGTAAATGAAAAAGGTCGCCCAAATAGCACCTTTCAAGACCTCAAATTTACTTGGGGCAAGGAGTGGTACGCAGATATTGCTTGCCGGAGGGCACCTCATGAACCTTGTGATCTGGGAATAGTTGTTTGGCTTCTGCAGAAGGGATGGTAGGCAAGACCATGCAGTTTCCGCCAGCCTGCCAGTCAGCAGGGGTTGCCACCTTCTTTTCAGCTGTCAGTTGCAGGGAATCGATGACACGTAGGACTTCACTGAAATGAGCAATGGGGAGGATATGGAAATCTAGCTCTGAATATCTATAGCAATAATAATAATAATAAAAAAAATCTGGAACATCAGCTTTCCTTTTCAGTGATGAAACATTTCCTTCATTATCTAATCCAAGACAAAAGAACCCAACACTGCACAATCTAAAAAAAAAACAAGAACAACCTTTTCTCTCTCTTTCCCTCCACTACTACTTACTCAAAGTTACGTCCAGTTGTGGCAGGGTACAGAATGGAGAGCTTCAGCTTCTTGTCAGGTCCAATGATGAAGACAGCGCGGGCTGTCAGGGGCATACCTGCAGAATCCTTCTCGTCTGGGTCAAGCATGCCGAGCTTGATAGCCAATTCACGCTTCTCATCCGCTACATAGGGAAGGGGAAATCTCCTGAGAGGCAGTTGTAAGCCTGGATGTCCTACAAGGAGAAAATAAAACAATATAAAGTATAGGCTAACAATATCATATTCAATATGATTAGGAACAATAACAGGAAAAAGAAAAAAAGAAGAAAGAAAAGAAAAACTATTAAAGTTGAATGCAAGAGATGAGATCAAAATTATAAAAACATATTGAGGGAAAGAAAAAGAAAAAAAAGGGGAAAAATACCTTAATCCAGCCAAGATGATCGTTCACATTGTCGCATGAAATGGCCAGCATCTTAAAATTCCTTTTTGTGAATTCAGGAGCCAACTTGGCTACCTTTCCCAGCTCTGTTGTGCAGACTGGAGTATAGTCAGCTGGGTGGGAGAACAGGATGCCCATCTGTAATAATATTATATCAGTTATAAACTAGAAAAGAGGTATATAGAAACAAGGACCAAGGAAAGAGAAAATGACTAAATGGAAGATTTTTTGTGGAAATATATTTTTTTATACAAAATACATATGGTAATAAAAAAAAGTATGGCAGACAGGTCTCCCTAACACTATACTTAAACTTGCAAGCAAATGATACATGAACAATATTTTTCAGTGCTTGCATACTTGGACAACCTTAGAACAATAGCCTATTGTCATTATGCTCCGTGCGACACACAAGCAATTCAACACTTAAGGATCCTTATCATGCAACTTGTCATTCATTGCTATATGCAAAACAGTAAGTATGTGGGGAGAGAGGGAGATGGAAGGTAGGAGGGAGAAAAGAAGAGGGAAAGAGAGAGTGGGAGAAAAAGAGGGAATGGGGGGGGGGGGGAGAGGGGGAGATGTGGGTGGAGGAGAAGGAAAGAGGGAAATGGGGGGGGGAGAGGAAAGAAGAGAGCGGCAGCAAACTATAAAAAATTAAAGCATTGGTATTGTCTATGAAGTGACTGAACCCTCTTAGTCTATTACTCCAGCCACTCCTGGCAAATCCACAAACATTCATATAAACCAAAATCCTTCCCAACCTCGGGTCTTCACTTGCAGCTTCCCATCCTATCCCCATATTTCCCTACTGAAGGCTCCATCACCCACATCCAATCACTGGATATACTCTCTCTGTGGCATTGTTGCAACCTATTTCCTTAATTTTGTGTCTCAATGAGAGTAGTTATCCCTCTCATTATACTGTTATTACATTTTCAAATTACACGTTGCACAACTTACTATCAACTAACAGAGGAAATGCCAAAGATTAAAAGTGCATCGATTCCTGTCAATTTATTCATTACAGGCAAAGGTCATCCTGTACCATATGACTGTGCAAAACAAACTATACTTAAGTAGTTTTCATAGGTTGTCTACAGATAAACTTGATGTTCATGAATCATTCATTCAATCAATCAATCTCTCTCTCTCTCTCTCTATCTCAGACAAGTTCTCACTTTTACAAAATAAAGAAACAAGAAAGTATAGGTTACTGAGACTGACATGCCGAGATTGTGCGGATATGGACAAGACCATCTTATAGAGCGTAAGAAATAGAATAAGAAACAACATAGTTTAAGCTGCAGCTGCCTCAAATTTACTGGTAAATAATGAAAATGTCTGCTGCATATCACCGTTCAGAGACGTGTCTGCAATACCCTCACACACCCAGAATTCTTAATGTCTGTTTTTATAGGTTGGCATGAAGTGCTAATAAATGGGGGTGGGGATGTCCCTGACAAAGTGCTAGGTTTCATCAGTTCATTAATCCCACATATTGCTGGTCAAAAGAGCATTGGTCGTCAAACCCTAAAACTACGCTAGAGGGCAGAAGTCGCTGTGAAGAGTCGCTGCTGACCTATACCAGTGCAAAATTATTATGCAGCGTGAACTTTACTTCCCATCCTCCTGTAGAATCGTTTATATATCTAAAACTTCATGTCAGTTCCTGTACATTTAACAAAACCCTGTAAAAAAAAAAAAAAAAAAAAAAAAAAAAATCAACTTTAAAACGAGTACAATTCATTACCCCTAAAAACACTTCACAAAATACAAAGTTATTCTGCAACACACTCGTCCAAGGTCAAGGTCGGTTAGATCACATTTCTGATAAAATTCCCTTCTCCTCTAACTCAAGATCAACTGCAGTTCATTACAACAACTCATTCTTGATTCAAATTCAATTAAAATGAGTCAGCGCTAGATGGCATGCGTATAAAAACTAAAATAAAATAGAAAAAAGAATTTAATATGCGTAACGCGATACGTGGGTGTGCCGACAAGACATTCCTGATCATAAATAACTCAATTAAGCTATTTCTAATTATTGTCAACACATTTCTTCTGTGAAAACCAACTCTAGGCATACAACAGACTCATTTAAAGCACATAAAATCAGCTTATATTGAAGAATAACGCAAGAAAATCAGAGAAATGCCATTGCCGGCTTTTCGCGTCGCCAAAATCATAAAGAACAAAATAAGACAAATTCTCACTTGTCTCCCAAGAAACTATGGAAATCGAGGTCCCGATGGTGCTCTCAGCCGTGAAGTTGGGGAAAACGTCGCCAAGGTTCACCATTTTGAAGGAATTTAAGGGTTTTACGAGGATTCTCAGGAGAGGAGGTCGCACGTGCTCTCTCTACGATGGTCGGTTGGCGACTGAAGTTCGGAGAGAAGCGGTTACGCAGCTGGCCTCGAGGAGCACGCGCGCACGCACATAGTTGCACATGCATTAAATAAAGTTTCTTTGTGTTTAAAGAAATGCCAGTTAAAGAGCTTGCAATTCATGGATGATTTATCTCGTTATCTGTGTGTAATTCCGTTAATATTTAGGTGTTATTTCACATTGTTTATGGTGGGGGACTGTGTTTATAACACCGGCTTGTCTCGTTATCTCTTTTTTTTTGCGAGTGCTTCCTCCTCTGGCTTATACAACGTGAGGATGATGCTGAATAAAATCCTCGTTAAAGATGCCCTCTAAATTTTCTCCTTCAATACAAACATGCACTACTTTAGATGACGTACACTGTCTATACTAAATACCTAAATACCACATAATACAACTGATGGCGAATTGAACGGATACTAAACGCATCATACATTTTAAAAATAATCCAACAAAAACTAAATTTCCTACCACAAGCTTCCAAACATAAAAAAGACCGAAAAACTAAAACCTACACGTGGGAATCCCGTGTCAAACCCTTCCCTCAGATGTGACAGGCATCACGCACACACAAACCGACAACATGCAACCTGTTTTACCGATATTTTACCTTTTTAACGCATAAGATAAGAAAACGAAGTAACTGAAGGTTCAAGGCCAAACACTTGTTGCTAAGCCCTGCGACTTTACATAAGCTGGGGTACTTAACCTGTGTCAACCGCTCCCAGACGGGGTATATGGTAACAATAAATGCCTTGTCTCTCTCCCTATGTGTAATGTTAATTTTTATATATATCTGTGATCCGTTTGTAGTGTATTTATGCTTGCAGAGGTTTAGACCAGAGGGTTAGTGAGGGTTTCTTGTCAAGAGGCTTTTGAAAGGTAACTTGAAGGGGCTTAGAGGGGGTAAGTTATTTATCAGAAACCTTTTGAAAAGTATTAATTCTATAGATATATGATTAGGTCCTTACGTATATTTCTTGATAAGAACATTTGAGAAATATCTACGTGTAACTCATTAATTTTTCTATCATTATTACTGTTATGCTATTGTTATTATTTATTACCTTTTTTTTGCATTCACGTATGTCAACGGGTTCACAGCGTCTTGTGTTGTTTGTTTGTTTGTGTTTGTGTGTGTGTGTGGTGTGTGTGTGTGTGTGTGTGTGTGTGTGTGTGTGTGTGTGTGTGGTGTGTGTGTGTGTGTGTGTGTGTGTGTGTGTGTGTGTGTGTCTGGCTCACTCGTTGGGAACCGGTAAGGTTAAACAGCTACTTCCTGTACCACCTCTCTCGTGTTAATCTCTGCCCTCGCCATTGTGTGTTCGCCTCACACACATTCCACGCACATGAATAACAACAAGCAATCTATGAAAACAATACGCACATGAAACTAACGGCATTCCTCCGTGTTTGAAGATGTCGACAACACAACAAGAACAAACAACATTCAAAACACAATCTCAAAGATGAAAAGAGAAGAAGAGGAGGAGGAGGAAGAGGACGATGAAGATGAAGATTAAGAAAGGAAAGGATATCTTCAAACACAGAGGAACTTACCATACGTATATTTTTCTATAGGATGCACTTTAATCCTTTCAAAATTCTCGTAACGGTATTATATATAAAAAAGAATATCTGAATACTGGGATTATCACCTGATTACTATATTACGTAGCCTACAAGGTTAAAAGTTTTTTTTTCAACAGGGAGTTATTCTTGTTTTTTCGATAAAGTTAATGTATAACCCTGTTGTACCTCAAGATTGCAAGCACCAGTGTGTGACGAAAATTTGCAAACAATGTCTGAATGCATATAGCTAAATATAACACTTTATCAAATAATTCCAGGTCATGTCTTCAGAAACACTGGAAAATATTCACAAATGCCAACATTCACCAAATGTATCCCAGTAAATGAAAATAAAAGTTTTTTTTTTTTAAAGACATGATTCATTTTCAATTAAATAAGACCAAAAAAAAAAAAAAATCTGTTCATTATGGTTGATGTATTTTGACAACCAAAATGTCTTATTTTGGGCCATATTTTAAATTTCCCGTTTTTTTATTTTTTTTATATATATAATACGTTTTAAGATATATTTTTTTCTTATCTTTTTTGGTTAATAGTGATTTTGAAGAAGATTTGGGTAGAAAAAATATATATGTAAGCTGTGAATGTCGAGCAATAGAAGGATTTAAAGGATCTTTTAGAAACTCACGCTGCAGTGTTCTAGAAGTTTCCTCGGGATCCTTCGTCATGCTGACTTGCGGTTTCCACTTTTTTCCTACTCTCGTCGCTCTCTCTCTCTTCTCTCTATTCTCTCTCCTCTCTTCTCGCTTCGCTCTCTTCTTTGTATACTCTCTCTCTGTCTATCTCTCTCCCCCCTCTCTCTCAAACACACACACACACACACACACACAAACTTCACACACACACCCAACACACACACACC